TGATGCCACCTCAGAACCAAGGAACAGGAGAGGCCCACCAAGGGAGGGAAGGGATGCAGAGATGACACAGACAGTGCCACTGACCCACAGCTGCAGAAGTGCTGGCAATTCAGTAAGACAGGAAAACGTGCAGCATGGCAGTGAGAAGAGCAGTCATCACGCCCTGGTAGCCCCAGGAGAATCTACCAGAAACTGCCAGCACTGCTGAGAGCCCGTTGCCTAATGTGCACAAGAATGCCAGTGCCTCTTACAGGGACACCAAGATGACAAACGAAACCAAGTTTCCACTCAGAGCAACAGACACTAAACACACAGGACCTCCAGCCCTCAGAGCACCTCTGAAAAGGGCCACTGGCTCACTGCTCCTCCAGCTGCCACGCACACCTGCGGAGTCAATGCTCACACATAGGGAGACCAGTGGGGGGAGGAGAGGCGACATTTGGTGTGTCTCCTGGAGGGGCAGAGCTAGAGGGGCTACCTGCCAGGGGCCAGGTCAGGCAGGAAGAACTCAGGTGGAGCAGGTGGAACTGCTGAGTGACTTGCAGGAACACTTGAGGGGGTAACCTTCCAGGCATGGAGGGCATGGCCAATGCCAAGGTCAGCTGTTACTGTGCACAGTGTGTGGGGGTACCAGGGGAAGCAAGTGTGGCCACAGGAAGGACCTGAAAAAACTTGGATGCACAAACCAAGAAGTGGCAGGCCCAAGAAGCCAGGGGGATGGGGCTGCAGGGAGCAGAACCATAGGAGGAAGAAGTGAGGTCCTTCCCAGCCATAGTGGGTAGGTACAGGCCCCACCCTGTGCAGTGCCCACCATGGCAGCCAAGAAGCTGTGGCTCCCTGTAGGTCGAGAGGCCAGGATGGCTTTGCTTTCACATGCTGTGTCTGTCCACTCCTGGAAGGGACTGGTGTCCATACTGCCCTTGAATAACCCAACAGCATCTGAGGACGGGTTCCAATTCTGTGACTAGAGGTGAAGAACCTCCCCTCTCTGGGCCTGCTTCCCCACCTGCAGAACAGGAAGCAGTCCAGGGGCGCTCCAGGCAGCAGGCTCAGACTGAATGGAAAGCAGCCCTCTGTTCCCCTGAGGCTGAGCCATTTCCACCTACTAGGCATGGTCAGGCACGGGCACATATCTCTCAGCACAAACTCAGCTCCTGGAGGTATAAATGTCAGGGTCCAAGTGCCAGATCTTGCACACAGTTAAGAGCTGGGAGGCCTGTGTCCCACCTCCCCACAAACTGGGTCATACTTCCAGACAGATCCTGATGCCCCCATCCAGTCCACTAGGGGCTCACAGAGAGGCCAACACCTCAACCTCTAAGACACAGCCAAAGAAGGCTGGCTTGGGGTTTTCTGTTTATTTTTTATTTTTTATTCTTAAGTTTTAGGTGGACACAATATCTTTATTTTACATTTATGTGGTGCTGAGGATCGAACCCAGTGCCTCGTGCATGTTAGGCGAGCACTCTACCACTGAGCCACAACCCCAGCCCCTGTAATTTTTTTTTTTTAATGAAATACTGAAACAGGGCCTGGCTGTTCTCAAACTCCTTGCTCAAGTGACCCTCCTACCTCAGTTTCCCCAAGTAGCTGGGACCACAAGTGTGTGACACTTAGATGTGGGTTTCCTCAGAGCTGCTCTGCCAATGGCAGGTCAAGTTGGGCTTTACAGTATGTCTTGTGGATGATCAAAATAACTCGTGATGACAAGAGAAGGTAGTGATGCAAAAACCAGAGACAGGCAGCTGCTGGCCCTATAGCTGGTGTCTCAGCATCCTCCTTCCCACCTCAATCCCTGGAGCAAGGTGCAACCTCCCCCCCCCCCCCCCCCCCCCCCCCCCCGTGGATGCACACCTGACTGGCCCATGGGAGGGTGAGGTGCTCTCTGTATTTCTACCTTTTCAGAGCTTGACTTCTGAAGTGGGTGAAGTGATTTGCTGTTTGAAATCAGCAAATTAACAACAATAACAAAAAGATCCTCATGGATGACACATGGAGGCCATTCCAGAAAGTGGTTTCCACCTGGAGCCAGTGGCACAAGTGCCCTCTGGGAGCTGGCCACACCATTAAGGTGCATGGACCAGAGTGCAGGGGCCAAGCATCTCCCTTGATTTGAGAGTGCTGGGCCAGCCCTTAGTAACAGAAAGTGGCCACACTGCCTGGGGCAGGAATATGGACTGGCCTACCTCCCTGGAGATGCAGGCACCAGCACAACCTGTTCTGTGGGCCTGAGGTCAGCGCTTACATCTGACACAGTCCTGGATGCTCCTCTCAGCCCCTTACAATCTGCAGGCAGAGAACAGCAACACTGTTCTTGTTACTGACATGGGCCCTTCTGTCACAGTAGTCACAGGGAATGAGAGGGACACCTATCCAAATTGTCTTTGCTTCCTCAGATCTCCCAGCCCCCACTCCCCCCCCCCTGTCAAAGGTGACCCTGACTCAGGTCTGCAGAGCCCCTGCCCTGTCCACTTCCTTTGCATATCTCAGACCTACCACAGGTCTCTGATCCAAGTCTGTGGATTATTAACTGCCACATGTGCTCCTCCGTGCCCTACAGCTGACTGACAACCACCACTGCAACTTTTAGGGAGCACCTGCTGCTCCCACAGACAAAGGCACAGCAGGCAGAGTTTGTTCCCCTTTGCAGGGGCAAGCAAGCATGTGAGGGTAACAGGATGGGGAGCTGCCTGGGCATGGGTGGGGTCCAGAGCAGGGGCTGGTACTGACATCCTCAGGACAAAGGTACTGAAACACTTCTGTTAATAGGCCTACAGCTGTTTGGCTATACCTGGAAGGAATGAGCTACTTCTGGGGTTACATGGGCTTCACTTGATGATCAGTGTCATATCCTGGGGGGAGGGGGGGCAGGCCTGGAGGTGGAACAACTGTGAGCACAGGTAGGTGGCTGTGGTCCTGCTGACCCTGGGCATATAACCAGCAACTCCCTCTCCAAGTGTCCCATGTGGAAAGCTTGCAGAGCAGTGAACCACACACTCCAGACTATGCAGGTTGGGGCAACCAGCTCCCCTTGCTGCATGCCCGAGCATTCCCAACTGTGCAGCAGGGGTAACTGGCAGCCCTTGAGGGTCATTAATGTCTGTAGAGATAGCCTAGCTGAGTGAATGTTAATTTTGAGCCAGTTATCACTATCAATGTGACTATGAATTATCTGAACTTTGGGGAAAACCATTATACTTTAGTAAGAAATGAGGTCAATCAAGACCCTTCTGAATGGACCTAGAGGCTGACTTTCCCAGAAGCCCTGTACTTTTCAAGGCAGGCTCAGAAGGGCAGTGAAAGGCATATAAGACTGACGGAGGTGCTGTGTCTGTGTAGATACCAAGGAGGCAGGCTGGCTCACTGTGACCTAGGGGGGCTGTTTCTAAAACTCACGAACTGCAGCCTGGGGAAGGTGACAGAGAAAAGGTACAGGCAGAGCCGACATAGGCAGAATACTTGTGACCTTAGCACAGCCTGGCTTCCCAAAAAGCAGCTCCTCCTTTACTCCTCCATTGCTATGTGCACAAGGCACTCTCCACATGCTAAACTGTTCTGGGGACCTACATTCTTTAGGATTCATGGGATCAAGTGCAGGTGACACTCAGAGCTAGGGAGAAGGAGGATCACTTCAGATGAGGTCTGATATGACATCTGGGCTGGGCATCAAAGGCACCAAATATCCAGGCAGAGGACAGCAGTGAGGCTGCAAGGCCAGGGCCCTGAAAGGGGCCGATGTGCTGGAGCAAAAGGGAGGCTGTCCAGGCACTGGGGCCTTCAGCCATGGTTGGAATTTTAGTTTTCCCTTCCCAGAAGCAGACAGGTGGGGCAAGAAGGTAGTTCCTTCTGGAGCACGAGGCCACAGTGCAGGAGCTTAGCATAGGATCTGGCTTGGAGGAAGTGCTCAGGAAACTGAGGCAGAGGATCCTGAGTCATCCATTTTCAGCAAGAGCCCCAGTGTGTGCCACCACACCCTACAAAGCATCTTAGCTGAGAATCCTGGACCCAGGACCTACCTCAGGTTCCTTGGGTGTGCATGGCTGTCTGATAGGCAGTGTGGTGAGCACAAGCCATGAGACCCCACTTTGTGCTCACAGGTTCCTCACCTCTGTCCATCTATCTGTCAGGCAGAAAGCAGCAATTCCATCCCAGGAGCACATCCCCTGGCCACCAGCACCTGACCCTGTGGATCCCAGAACCAATGGATCCCAGAGTTGGGATGTAAACCTGGAAAGCACTCCCACTCGGGACCAGCAGTGACCATGCCCCCTTTTCCAAAGCTTGCTTAGCTTCTGAAACTGAGGATCCCAAATCATCAAACCCTGAATCCTGGGGGAGAAAAGAACTGGGCACTGAGATGCCTGGGGACCCAAAGCCCAGCCAACAAGGATCCCCAAACTGCGCCACTGAGTCCACCTAGATGGAAATCTGCATTCCTGGGCCCAGCAGAGGCCCTGGAAGAGTGCAGCTTTGGGGGTGCCCTGAGGGCCTGTTCTAGGCAGACAGCGGATCCCAACCTTTACACCTGTCTTCTGACAGTATCTCATTTCTTGCTCTACTCATCTGGGTTCAGGCAAGAAGGGCAGCATTTGCTCAGCAAACACTGTCCATGATAACTCAGCCAAACGTGCAATATTTTTTACCAATCTATTACCATTGCAGTAAGCAGCCATCACCAAGAGGGGTCTCAGGATTGGCCCTCCCTCTCCCTTCTAAACAGAACCTTGAAGGGGAGGGCAGAACAGGAAGAACCCGAAGTATCCATCTTATCGCTGCCTCCGCAAGCTCAGCACTGCCCAGAGGCCCAGCACGCTCGGACACAGTGATAACTTGGCAACAGAAACATAACCGAAACAAGGCCCACGGTGTGACCCGGCCTCCCGGCCGCTCGGATACCCTCGCACGGAACTAGGTCTTCGCGCCTCTGCGGGGCGCGCGGTCCCGGGCCGGCGGCGGGCAGGGCTCCCGTGGTCCCGGCCGGAGCTCACGCGCCCACCTACCTCCAGGGCCTCCAGCGTGCTGAAGCTGGCGATGGCGAAGCCGTCAATGACCTCCTCCTCCTGCGAGCTGGACTCGCGGCGGCGGCGGCGCGGGGGGCGCGCTGCGCGGGGCGCGGGGCGCGGGGGCGGCGCGCCGCGGAGGCCCGCGTTCTCCTTGCCGGGGCTAGGCTCGGGCTCTTCGCCCGACGACGGGCTCTGCGCGCGGGCGTCGCGGGCGGCCTCCCTGCGCCGGCCGCGGTCCCGCTGCGCGCGCGAGCGCCGACTCGGCCGGACCTTGGCCTCCATGGCGGTCCGCGGCGGTGACCTTGGCCCCGCGCCGCCTACTACGCCGTGCAGCCGGGCTGCAAGGATGCCGCGCGGGCTCCGGGCCGGGCCGGGCCGGGCATGCCGGGCGCGGGCGCTCAGCGCCGGACGCCGCGCGGCCTGAGACCCCCGGCCCGGGCCCCGCACATCGGCGGGCGGCCGCGATCAGCGAACCTCGGCCAGGCCCCCGAGGGCGCGCCCCATGGCAGTCGGCGAGCGGCAGCGGGCGACCGGGCGCGGAGGGAGGCAGGGCTCTTGGGCACCAGACTCGTGAGGCGGTGGCGGCAGCGGCAGCGGCGGCGCCCCGAGCGGATAACAACTGACGCACTTCCGCCCGGCTGGATCGCCAGAGGAAGTGGGCCTGCACCAGGAGCCCGCCCGCCTGCCGGGCCCCGCCCAGTTGGCCCCGCCCCCTCGGGGCCCGCTGGGCTCAGCCCCACCCCGCTGGCCGGGCTCGGCTATCAGACCACGCCCCTCGGCGGTCCGCTGCGCCCCACCTCTCCTTTCAGACCCCAGCCCCGCTCTGCTCAACCCCGCCCCGTCGGGCCCCGCCCCCTTTAGCAGGCCACGCCCCCGAGGAGTTCCTCCTCCCTAGTCAGACTCCGCCCCCTCCGCTCTGTTCTTCTCAGCCCCGCCCCGCCGGCCTAGCTTAGCCGCACCAGGCCCCGCCCCTCTGCTCTCTGAGCCCCGCCCCTATAACCACGCCCACCAAACAGGCCCCGCCCCTCAGGCAAGCTCGTGGTGGTCTGCACGGTGCCTCCTATCCCCACGTAGGCGGGGCAGGGTTCCCGAGCCAGGCGGCCCCGGCTGCTGCCAGAGGGCGCTCGGTGCCGGAGCACGTGAGCGAGAACGGGCCTCCTGCCCCGCAGCCCGCCGGCTTCTCCTCGGCCCCCGGGGTCGGAGGCCACGTTCGGCCCCGTCAGCCTTCCTGGACTCCGCGGTGACATGACCTTGGGCCCAGGACGCACCCACGGGGACTCGCCTGGGCCTCTGCTCTGCCGGGCTGCCTGGTGCTGCAAGCCAGCGGTGGGCTGCGGCGGGGTGGAAAGGCAGGGCAGGGGCGCGGGAGTTGGAACCTACACTTAGGGAACCTACACTTAGGGACAAACTTCCTCTTTCCTCAGGCGGGGCTGCTGAGGTTGGAGAGCTTGACCTGAGGCGTTTCCTAGGGCACTTGTGCAGACCCTAGGCGAGCAAGGTGGTCTAAATTCGGTAATTCATGCAATACCTACCAAATGCCTCCTATGCCCAGACCTGTTCACCACCATGCAGTAATGAATGAGACAAGGGACACTTTCAGAACTGGTGGCAAGACCCTGAGCCCATAGCCAAGTAAAAAAACAGGCCCAGCAGAGAGGCCCTCTGAGAGGGGAAGGCTGGGGCTGACATCCATAGCCTGCAGGAAGGTGCAGAGCAGTGGAGATCCTTTTGGCAGAGGCTCCAACCCTGCAAGGACACCTGAAGAAAGGGGCGTACCCTTGTCCGCTGTCCCTTGAAAGGTCAAGGCCTCTGAGTGTACAGGCCAGGAGGTGTGGTCTGGGTGTCACCAGGCTGTGTCAGGGCTCTCCCTAGGGCAGCTGGGAAGGTGACTCAGAGTTGACCTAGGCCCTTCCTGTCACCCCCAGCCTCCTTAGAGCTTTGTAATGAAAGCACCCACTCATCCCCCAGACCCTCCCTTTGATTAACAGGTGAACCAGAGCGGGCTCTCATTCCTGTCTGTCAGTCCTCTTTGAGAGTAGGAGTCTGAGAGTGTGGATGAGGGTCACATGCTCAGTGCCTCAGTTTCAGAGGCTTCTTCCAGGAGGTACTGGGAACCACACCTCTCTGGAGACTACCCCACCCCCAATCTGCAGAGTTTCCTGTGGCCCCTTTCCTGCATTCCCTTTCCTGCATTCCCTTCCCGATGAACAATTGCTTGGACTGCTGAGGTTCAGGATTGGAAGTTTTCAAATATAGAAATAAACTGCTCATTTAGTCTCCAGGGATGCTTGGATGTGTGTCCCCAGTGAAGGGCAGGGTGTCTGGACACTCTGTTTCTGCATTCCCTCTGGTTTCCTTAACTTTCCTGGGGAGGAGTCCCCAGGTGCCTTTATTCATTTCCAGGTGGCACATAGCCCATGTGGGGACCAGCAGGCATCTCTGGGATTCCTGGCTCAGTTGTTCCCCAGGGAAGTCTTGCTCTGAGGAATCTTCCCTGTAAGCAGAGAACATCTGGGCCCACAGGAAGTAGCTGGAGGTTAGGTCTGAGGGTGGTCTAGTACCCAAGTCTGATGGTGTGCCCATGCTCATTTGCCTTCAGAGGCACATCTTAATAGCTGCATACCCTGCCCAGGACTTTGAACTTGCCCCTGAGTGTTTGGAAGGGCCCTGCCAGAGCTTGCCCCATAAACACCACTGCATCCCCCACTTCCTTCCCTTTGCAGTTTGAGGTAGAGCCACTTGCTCCTTGTTTCAGTTAGTGTGTATGCAACCATGAACCTGGGGAAGGAGAGGCTGCTTGGGTGCAGAACTCAAAACGTGCAGAGCTGTGACTGACAGACACATGCAGCTCCCAAGGCCTGGCAGAACTGGATTTTACATCTTGCTTATCGGTTTTAATCTGAAACTCAATGACTTTACGCAGCTAGCAGCAGGTGTTGGGCAAGGCAGTTCTACCACTAGACTGCTGGATCCATCCTCAGTTCCCATTCACTGGCAATGTGTCAACAAATGATTTAACTTCTCTGGGCTCAGTTGTCCTATCTGTGGAGTGGGGGTGGGTGGTGGCATAAGTTAGCAGCCAGCCTTAAGAGGGCATCTGCATGATAGCAGGGAGGAGGTTCAGCTTCCCTTGTCCAGGACACCCAGAATCCCTGAGCCCTGGGTCTGAGCTGGGCTTAGCACCCCCTTTCACAGCTCTCTGGGCATGCTGGTCTGTGAACAGCAGTTTGAATGACCAGCACCTGCTGCCATTTGTAGGCAGGACCCAGAGTCTTGATCTCCCTGGCCACAGTCCCTGATTGACACCCCTCCCACCAACTCCTCCCTTGCCAGTCATCCCTCCCCTTTCCTTCTGCCCTCAGCACTGGCTCCCAGTGCTCCTTCCGGGATCCTGGGACAGTTTTTTGGTACCAGCCCCGATTCCAAACCTCAGGACCCATTCTTCCTGTCAGCCCATGGGAAAAGGGAATGGGGTCCTCCATCTGCAAGGACCCTGCAGGCAGGGAAAGCTCCAAGGGCAGTGGTTTCTGTAGGTGGTTGTCAAAGAAGAACCAACTTATCACTGGGCCCAGACCCCACTCATTCCCTGCCCCCAGCACAGGCCCTCACCTGGCTACCAACCCCCAGCCCAGGTCCCACCCTTTCCCATCCCCCAGCCCAGGTCCTCACCTGTTCCCTGCCCCCAGCCAGGCCCTTACCTGGCTACCATCCCCCAGTCCAGGCCTCTACCCTTTCCCATCCCCCAGCCCAGGCCCCCACCTGCCACTTGCTGCTCCCTGGCTAAGTGCTCTCTGAAAGGCAATGCAAGCAACAATTTGCTTCCAGTCTGGCCTGCCCGTCAATCAGGTCAATCAGCCCTTGGAGCCGGCATGCTCTTCTGCAAGGCACAGTGCAAAGTTGATTGACGTGAAGTTGTATGCAAACATTCTTAGCTGGAAAACTCATTCCACTTCTAAGGGATCAGCCCATGCACCATCCTTGAGCCAGCTGTTTGTTCTACCACCAGGATGGACATTTGCATGTCTGTCCCTCTGACCTCTGCTCCACCTCCTTCCCAGTGTGTTTTGGCTCAGAGCAAGCTTCCATAGATACAGTCTGGTGGGAAGTCTGCCCAAGACCCACCCTCCCAGCTAAATGGTCAGCTCTTGCTGTGATAATGCTGCAACACAAAAGCCCCTGGACTCTCAGTAACAATACAAACTGCTGTTTTCTTGCTCATGGGGCTGCAGGTTGGCAGGAGGGTTAGGGCAGGCCTGTTCAGAAGGCCTCTTTCTCTGTGTGCAGGATGGAAGGGAAGGCCATGGGAGCACCCTCTCTCCTGAGCTCACAAGGCCACACAAACTTTGAGCAAGCCAGTACCTCTGTAATGGGTTCCCTTGATGCTTGGACTGTATCCCTTGTGGCTTTGAAGCGTACATGATTTTTTTTTCCCCTAAACTTCTCCTCCCTGATCTTCTTTTCCCTAAACTTTTCCTTCCTGATCTTTCCACATTTTCTCTGTTCTCTGCCCCCAGCACAGGTTCCCACCTGGCTACCATCCAATGATAACAGCCCTACTGATGGGCACAATCACAGCCTTTGGGACAGGAGTCCCCTGTGTTTCTTTTTCTTTTTCTTTTTAGAGGGAGAGAGAGAGAGAGAGTTTTAATACTTATTTATTTTTTAGTTTTCGGCGGACACAACATCTTTGTTTATATGTGGTGCTGAGGATCGAACCCGGGCTGCACGCATGCCAGGCGAGCGCACTACCGCTTGAGCCACATCCCCAGCCCTCCTGTGTTTCTCCTTCAATAGCAAATCAATAAGTCTTCTTTTTCCTTTTCCTCAAAACCATGTCCTCCTTACTGGATTGGCATGGGGACAAGGAACCAGCTTTTGGCAACCCCTCTTCCTGCAGGCTCCTTCCCTGTGCAAGTCACAAGGCCACGGCCAGCACCCAGGGGCAGGAAGTGGGCCCCTGCTGGGCGTGGGTATGGCACTGCAAAGTCACAGTTACAATTTGTTACTGCAGAAAATTTTAAGTGAAATTCAACAACTGAAAGACTCTGTTATTTGGCTAAGAGAACAAGTACAAGACTTAGATGGGCTCAGAACTTCAATGTCATGAATTTCACCCAGTGTTGCATTATTAGAGTTCCATGTAATGATACTGAAATTCAATGGCAAAATGTAATTAATTAACCACCCAATGGAACAGGATCCTTTTCATAATATTTCTTTGGGTGTGTTGAAATTACAACCTCAGGTTCTGGTCATGGTTGATACAAAAGCACCTGCTTTTATTTATTTATTTATTT